GTCTCGAGCACGAGAAAAGTGAGCGATCCCGCTTGGCTCCTTGGCCGCTAGAACTCAACTATTTACAGTCTACACATATTTCAAAGTCGATTCTACCGTTCCCCCGAAGTGATTTTGGGCATGAACTATCACATGGCCATTGACATGTGGAGTTTGGGTTGTATTCTGGCGGAGCTGTTCACAGGTTTTCCAATCTTTCCTGGTGAGAATGAACAAGAACAGCTGTCGTGCATAATGGAGGTTCTGGGTATCCCGGATAAAGAATTTGTGAACAAGAGTTCGCGCAAGAAGTTGTTCTTCGGTCAGTGCCCAAATCTGCTGCTGCTGATCGTTTCTAAACGACGTACAGATCCAAACGGTGCCCCCCGAGTTGTTGTCAACTCAAAGGGTCGGCGAAGACGACCTGGTACGAAGACGCTGGCCCAAGTGCTGCGGTGCACCGATGAAGACTTCATTGACTTCATAGCGAAATGCCTCATTTGGGATCCGGAGCGACGGATAAAGCCGCAAGCCGCACTGCGCCATCCGTTTGTAGTAGCCGGGAAACGGCCTCGACCGTTGGCAACCCCGGCAGCGACGCTCAGAGCTGGGTCCTCGTCCAACCTAGCTGCCTCGACTCTTGGCAGCAGCCGAACAAAGCACGTGATGGAGACTCCCAAAAAGTCGCTGATCAGTGCGCCACGCCGTTGACGGCGCGGACTTCGCGAACGACGACCTCGGGCAATGTACCCACAACCCCCAGCAACTCTTCGCAGCCATCCACCGTCGGCTCCTCGCGGTCATATCGAGCAAGTCAAAGCCAGAGTCTGTCGACTTACCACTCGAGCAGGACGGTTACTGTCAGTGAGATCGTTCCTTATCGTGGCTTGTGCTGACGGATTCTCCAGGCTGGGAAGTAGTCATACCCTCCTTTGTACCTCTTATTGTGCTTTCTGTTGTCGTTTTCAATTCTCTAGCGCTTATTCTACTTAATCAATTCACCTCGATTTGGTACACAAATGACATGTCACGGGTCGCCCTCGTCAGTATCGATCCATTGGTCTACATCTGTGGCAGTGAAAGGTCCCGGCGTAAATATTTCGTGTGGGTCTACGCCCATCTCGCCGAGCCGAGCTCGCTCGCTGTGACGGAGAACTCTTCGTTCCAGAGCCCAGCCGAAGCTCGTGCAGATGAGCTGTCCTGGCCCATTTTCTTGCACTTCGCGGTGCATGCGATCCATGAGAGATGGAATGAGTGAGTGGAATGGACGCCAGGTGTCGTGTGGGTGTCCCTGGCCGTCGAGGTGTCCGTAACCTCGGACTCTCCAGCCTCACGGTGCCGTTTCCGAGGCTCCGGTGCGAGACCTCGTGAGAGAGAGATTCAGTCGAGGGGGCCTGTGCTTCGAGACATCCGCTTGGTCTTCAGAACGCGATGGAAAAACCACCTTGGCGGGTGAGTCTTGCTTCGATGTCGGCAGTTCAGGTGGACTGTGGCTCCTCGACTTGAGCTTGCCAACCCAATCCCATTCTCCGCTACCTAATCTTCCAAGGCTGAGATGACGCCGGCCCCAAGATCGGATGGACGACGAAGGCGCGATGACTGGTTCCCCCCGGGAACCTCGGGTGAGGCTCATAAAGATAAGAACAGCAAGCAGCAGCAAGAGCTGCGCAACACCCAATCGTTTCTCCAATACAATCTATATTCTTTTATCAGACACACCGATCGAGGGAGAACAACACAGACCTCGTCAGACAGATATTGCACTTTGCGGAGAAGTTCCAAATATTCAATATGGGTGCTCATTTGCTGGCGTTCCCAATCTCGCAAGGACCGCGCAAGCAGTTGCGCTTGGGCTTTGCCCTTGATTGCGATTGAGTACGTCAGAACAGGAAAATAGGCGAAAGCGACTGACCACACCTTCTGCCCGACCGAGATCTTCGCCGACCCGGCGAAGCATCTCTCGAACAGCACTCGTATGCTCCTCAACATATCGCGCGTATAGTGTGTGATTGGCCTCCAGTGCAGTCAATCGATTCATGATTGTGCGGTAGATGGATTCTCCTCCAGACGGCGCAGTGGTTGAAACAGAGGTCGGCTCTGGTTGACAAACGTCGTCGGCATTGCCTCCGCAGTGCCCGTGCTGTTTGAATGGAACTCAGTCGTGGATCTCTCTCTTTTTGCCGCAGTGGTTGTCTCTGTGGATTCGGGAGGTTGAACCAACGTCAGATGCTGCGCGATCTCCGATGATGTTTCCACTGATGTTTCAGGATGTTTCGTGCTCTCCAGTTCTGTCGCGGCTGCATCCATGAACTCGGCATAGGAAGGTGGAATACGCACTGGCTCCGGGGCGACAGCAGGCTCGGGCTCGTTCACCTCGAGAGGCACAGTTGGTGCAGCAATTTCGCCACGTTTGGCCCGACTTTCGTCTTCCCAAATCTCCCATTTATATTCCTCCAGATGCGTCAGGCCATAGACTCGAAGCAGGGAGATGGGACAGTAGAACTCGTTGCCGTAATGTGAATGGAAGTCGATTCTTATGTAGCGGTAAAAGTCTCGTAGGGATGTCGGTGGATGAAATGACTAACAAGCGCGATTAAATTGAGCCCTGCAACACCACCCTAGAGCCACACACCTGTACCACTCTTATGTTCTTTGCTGTATGTGTGCTAGCGACCGTCCATCCCTCGGGATCGGTCGTATACGTCTTTGACACGCTGACCGTGAACTTCTTGAATACTCCACTGAAGAACTCGAAATTGGCCAATTGGACTGTGTCGATTCTAATGTCCTCGCAGAGTTCCACGACTATGTACTGCTTTTGGTCTTTGCACGGACTGAGCATGTATTTGTCGCGTTTTGAAGACAAAATCGACGCCGGGGATTTGGCTGAGCGATGAGAGGTATGAACGCGCGCAGAGCAGTCCATACTAGCGTAGTTGAAACGGTCTGTTATTGGGACGCGGAAGTGAGGTGCGTCCAAGGGTGCACTGTGCGTGAAGACCTCGGCCGGAGCAGCGGATGGGTTATCCCCTCGTTCGGACGTCCACTCGTTCCCGTTAGCGTCCTTGTCTTGAGTTTTTTTGCCCTGCTGTTGCTCCGCTTGTTTAACTGTTTGCTTCTCTTTCCACTCCTCGAAAGACAGAAGCATCTCGTCCTGAATGGGCTCCGATGACGGCAACGGCCTCAGACAACAAACTGGAGGTTCCGGTGGCTTCACACGCCGCTCTGCAAGCGCCTTGAAGAGATCATTTGTCGTAGACAACGACACGGCGGCAAAAGCAGGCGATGCCAGAGCGAGAACCAAGAAGAAACACATGGCAATTTTCCAATGGTCCTCTGTTGCGCAAGACTGGCGCTGTGGGCGTGTCAAATAAGTGGACATCTTCCACTACGCGTTTAATAAACATAAGAAAGAAGCGCGTTCAATTCTTGGCGGACAAACTGACGCTAGGGTATCCGGAATTGAATGCGAGTATTCCAGACGTGGGGAGCGTCAATGCATGATTTCGGCCCTCTGACACGCGCAAGTTGATCGGAATATTGATCCCATCAGTACCCATTGCTAACTTATCCATGGCCAATACCACAGTCAGCGGAGCTCAGTCGATTCACGGTCAGAATCCCCAGGTTCGTTGAGATTATCTTTTCAGACGCTATAATGTGATGAATCCCTAGTTTTTAGTTGAAACTGTTATTCGAAATCGTATCTGGGAGTCAATATTTTGGAAGGAGCACTGTTTCGCGCTCACCGGTGCGTGTTTGCTCATTCTTATTTTTCGGAGCTAATTGAGCGAGCCAGCCGAAAGTCTGATTGATAAGGCTATTGAAGTGAACTATATTGGGGGCGTGTATGGCAACCAGAGGCCCACCGAATTTCTGTGTTTGCTCCTCAAGTTATTGCAAATCCAACCCGAGAAGGAGATCCTCATCGAATACATGCAAGCTGAAGAGTTCAAGTGAGTCTGCGACCGCCGCATGATGCGCCTGTTTCTCATTCGCGTCTGGCAGGTATCTTCGGGCCTTAGCAGCATTCTATGTGCGCATGACGTTCAAGCCAGTCGAGGTGTATGAATTGCTAGAGCCACTACTGAAAGACTATCGAAAATTACGATTACGCAACATGGGTATGTACTCCTCATCACACTGGAAAGAGGCATTCTGACATAGTGTCCAGCTGGATATAATCTGACTTTCATGGACGAGTTTATTGATCAACTGCTCACGGATGAACGAGTCTGTGACATCATTTTGCCGCGCTTGACGAAGCGCGGTGTGCTGGAGGAGAATGGAGATATAGGTCCGCGCAGAAGTCGATTGTTGGACGCTATGGAGGGCAAAAGCGAACACGGGAGTGAGCGTGATGACAGCCGAACTTCTAGTCGAGGTCGCAGCCTCAATGGGAGTGAACGCACAGCGTCCGACGCAGGATCACGCTATGTTTCGCGTAGCCCAACTCGTTCGAGATCTCGCTCAGACTCTCCCGGTTATCGCTCGAGAAGTCGAAGTATTTCGCCAGATCGAATGGATACCGACCCAGCGTAGGGGAGAGACAGTATACGTGTATTGTGCAAAAGGATTAAGCATCATCTTGTTTCACGAGCCCACTGAGGTCTTTGGTTGTTCTGCGGAGATGAGGATGAAAAGAACATGAGCGCAGGAAAGCAGATGCGTTTTGTTGTGACGCACTCGACAGGAATGCCCAGGACATCTATCCCATCTATTCGAGTTTCTTCCGCTCCCCCGTGATTGGACGCTACGAAAATCTGCAAGTAGAGCTTTAATGATAAAATCTTGCAGCGTCGTGAGAGAAGGCGTTACATGGAGACTGCCCACAGTCTGAAAGCGGACATAACGCAGCGCGATCGGATGCCCTTGCTTCAGATCCTCCAAACTTAGATCGAATGTCTGTGCCACTTCAGGCTCTTCCGAGTCCTCCACATCCTCGAATCCTAATGCAGGACGGTTGACAACCAGTTTGACGCGTTTTGGCTGAAAGATTAGGCTTAGAACTGGGAAATGTCAATGAACAAGAGGACAAACAGCTTGATCCTCGACAGACGCCTTGATCACGATTGCACGAACGCGTACCGATTGGTTAAACTGGTCTCTGTTAACAGGCAATCCCAACCGGAGGTAGAAGTAGAACGTGCGGGTATGTTGAGCAGGAGCTGCTCATCAGCATCGCTGAGGAGATATCCAGGCGAAGTATTCAACGTTTTAGTGGTCAGGATAGACGAGATGGGGTGTTCAGAGGACTCGTTTAAACAATTGACCTGGGGATTGTCCAGATACTCCAGCAGAGAGATCTGTGCTCAATCAGCCAAGCATCACGAGCTCCGATACTCAAGCTAACATCGTCCTTGATCGTGGTCATGGTTGAGGTGAAGCAACTTATATGCGTGTTAGGTCACGAGTTCATGCGCACAATTATCAAGATGAAATCTAAGCTACGATACAGTCGTCTCTGGCCTCTTGACGAGTGGGTCGAGCACCTGGTCCTCGTTTCGTTCCCATCCGCTTCATCTCCGTCAGCCTGTTCATGGCGCGCTTGTTCCCCTGGGCTTCACGGCGTGGTCAATGACAACACAGGGGGAGCAGATATGAAGGACTCACCAGCAGCTCGCATATACCAACGTTTTGCAAATTCGACGTCTTGCTTGATCCCAATCCCGACCTCTGCATAGTATCCGACGGCATATTCAGCCTTGCTGAGGCCCTTGTTTGCCGCGCGCCTGGCCCACAGATACGCTTCCGAATCGCTCTGCTTGAGAACATTCTCGCTTCCCGTGAGATACCATCCGCTAAGAGCCAATTCCGCTTCTGGATCCCCCTTTTCTGCGGCCTTAGTGTACCAAGCGATGGAACGTCGTGGATCCATCAGACATGTGAGTGAGCCATACTCGTAGCATTGTCCCAGTTTGAATTGCGAGGGTGCATATCCGAGATGGGCGGCACGTGTAAAGAGATTCTTGGAAGCAACATGGTCTTGGGGAACGACCTCACCCGTTTCATGCAACAAGGCAAGTTCGTGGAGCGCATGCGGATTCTCTTCATCGGCCTGCTCAGCGGCACGACGCAACCAATTGATAGCTTCGCGGGGATTCTTCGGCTCGCCGAGTGCGCCGTGCAGAAGAATCATCCCGAGCTTGTACATGGCGGGAGTGTCCCCAAGGGAAGCTGCTTTCCGGTAGAACGAAGCAGCACGTTGTGGCTCTTTCCGGGTGCCAGCGCCGATCTCGTTGCACACCGCCACTCGGTAAGAAGATGCTGCATGATTCTGCTTAGCTGCCTGCAGATAAAGATGATAAGCACGCTCGTGGTCGACTTGCAGTCCAAGAGAACCCGTCCCATAGCAGTTGGCCAGATAGAATTGGGCCTCGTCGTAGGCGTCTCCCTGCGTCGCCAGTCGACGAATAACTTTGAGAGCCTCCGTAATCAAAACCTCGCTATACTTTTTGGCCGACTTCTGATCTTTGGCCGTCTGACGGATGGTTTTCGCAGCATCTACCAGATATTTCGCATACAGGAAATGTGATTCGGGGTCAGGATCGGCCTTGATTCGTTGTCTGTACTGATCAATATACTCCTTTGTATACGGAGGAGCACTGAGATCAACAGCTTTGCTCTTGACGGAGGGCGGGGCAGAGCTGAATGTATTCTCGCGATTCATTTGAGGTCTGAGTTCGAAGTCTGAGCTGTCGGCGGTATACTGTGAGGGAGGCGGATATGAGTTGCCGGAATGGGTCGATGATGGGTATCGGGAAGAAACCAGGGATGTCTGGCTCGGCGCGTACTGGGCGTTGCCATATGGACCAGGAGGAGGAGGAGGCCGGTATCCGGGGTTGGGGTGACCTTGGGCATATTGGCCTGGTGGGGCCATACCCAAGACATTGGACGCTGCGGAATACAGATGGTTGGAGGCAGGCGAAGGCTGATTCCATGGCTGCTGGCCACCGTATGCGACTGGAGACTCGTAGCCTTGCGCGGGAGAATCGTACATCTGGGGCTCCCATCCCCGTTGCGGTGGAGGAACGTCATGCGGTTGTTGGTCATACAAGGCTTGGTCGTAGTAACCATTGGCACCACACGCAGGATCCTGTGCGTTTGACTCATACGCAGTCTCGTAGGTGGTTTGGGAATCGTAAGATGCGGCAGACTCGTGTGAGGGTTGTGTAGAGGGATCGTGATGATAAACGTCCTGTTGGGCCGGATAGTCTGGGTCGCGCGGAGAGGTCTGTTGATATGGAGGAGAAGTCGTTCTGTGTTCGGGTTGAAAGACGGGGGGGATATTCATCGGAGTGGGAACACTCTGTGCGTGTCGCGGCGAGCGAGGGAGAGCTGGACCGCGCATGGACATGGACGACGCAGCCCGAGTGACCGGAGTGGACTGGTCGTCAATCCGAAGTCGCGCAAGGGCGTCTGCGGGGTCTTGTTGCTGCGCATCTGCGGCCATAGTGGTGGATATTTTGAGGATCGAGGCTGAGGCGCAGATCAGCCCCTCTTGATGTTTTGATGACGCTATGATCGGAGACTTGTAGCACCCAACCCTCACTGGTCATACCTTATCGTTTTGGCCTGAATGGACGCCCTCAGTATCCTTCAGGCTCTTCTGTCGACACTCTTCCGCCTCGCGGCCTTCGTTTTATTACGAATTATTCCATCGCCGCTTGCATTGCGAGCGTTGGTAGCGTTGGGGCTGGCCTACCTATCCATCCTCTGCATCGGTGCTAGACATACTCCCACCGAGGATATTATACCACTTGGTTCGCTGGTGCTCTCTCTTCCCACGAACTCTGCTGCTCTTCGCCGGGCCAATATTCTCATCAACGTTGCGCTTGCTCTTATGGTGGTCGAATTTGTTGGCACACCATATCTGGACCCAGCCTTTGACGTCACCTTTTCACGTATCGGTGCGGTTACCTCTGATAGTGTCAAGGTCACAGTGCGGTCGCCGAGCACCAACGACACTGGGCTTGTACTTTGGCGAGAAAAGATGGAGTCAGAGCCATTCAACTCGTGGAGGAACGGCCCTGGCCTCGTGTTTACCTCAGAGGCGGATTGGGTCACTACGGTCAGGCTTTCCGGTCTTTGGCCAAATACTAGCTACGAGTGTGCGTTCTTCTCAGGAAATCGGGTTATTCGCTTAACCTCGCCACCTTTTTCAGATGCCGTCGCCGACGAGAATCGGACCATCACCTCAGGACCGTTTGTGTTCCGCACTTTCCCCGACTCTCGACTGACGACTGGGTCTCACTTCCGTTTCGTCGCATCTTCATGCCTGACTCCCAACTTCCCTTATGTGCCGTTCCATGGACGGTCCATCAAAGGCTTCGATCTCCTCGCTCAGTATTTATACCCGGTTGTGCAGCCAGAGGATCCACTGCCGCCTGCTGAATTTATGCTTCTTTTGGGCGACTTCGTATAGTCCGTTGTCTCTTCAGCCCTGTTGTCTTGATTGAGACTGATCTGTGTTCTTAGCAGTGACATTCCGACCTATGTCGGGGATAACAAAGAAGCATATCGCAGACTGTACCGGAGGAACTACCAAAGCCACAGTTTCAAAGCAATCTACGAACGATTACGTATGGCGCCTAACAAACAGTCGACCAGGCACTGACGCGCATCTTAGCTATCTTGCACACTTATGACGACCACGAAATCAAAAACAACTTTATCGGACAAGCCAACGAGACTGTTGAAGCGCAAGACCCTTTTATCAATGCGTCTGATGCGTACACTCTGTACAATTCTGCTGCCAACTACGATCCAGCACAGGCGGGCCAGCACTACTACAGCTTCCGGTATGCAGATGCCGCCTTTTTTGTTCTGGACACCCGGCGCTACCGTGTTTTGGCCGCGGGCGAAGATGAGACAGCAGGGACCATGCTCGGGGAAACACAGCTTGCGGCGCTGCACAGCTGGCTTTCCCATGCCAACGGAACGGCCTCGTTCAAGTTCATCGTCAGCTCGGTGCCGTTTACGTCTCTTTGGGGCTTGGATGGACAAATCGACACTTGGGCCGGATTTCCTCAGGAAAAGGCCTCGCTTCTGGCTGCACTGCACACAGTCCCGAATGTGATCATCATTTCTGGTGACAGGCACGAGTTTGCGTCGATCGAGTTCAATGGCGAGGAAGACTCCATGCACACAGTCCGAGAGTATTCGACCAGCCCATTGAGCATGTTTGATGTCCCGTTCGTCCGTACTCTGGGCATGCAAAGCCAGGAGACTTACCCCCGAGTGGTTACCTCTGAGGATGGCAATTCTACGATTGAAGAGGTGCCCAAGGAGCGAGTTGTCAAGTATCTGGCGCGAGGAAACCACAAATGGTATGTTCATTCACTTGAGCGGGGGCGAAAATAACACAGCGCAGGTCTTCGTTCGAATTGGATTCGCGGGATTTGGCGAAGCCCACATTGCGAATTGAACTGGTCATTGACGGGAAGATTCGATATAGGGAGGAACTCGTTGGCAGCCCAGTGAAACTGCAGTCGTCGAATGCCCTGGGCGCGTTTGTGACCACGGGAATCAAAGATGTATTCAACCGAATTGGCATCAACCCGAGTAGATGGTTTTGATACTCTGACCTACATACTAACATCCTGCGAGAAACGCTGTTGTACTTGTGCATAATGCTCCATTTCGGACTGACTGACACTCGGCACCAGCTTGTCCAACGCTTGCTCGAAGTCTGCTTGAGAAACCAAGACATGAATGTCTTCGCTGCTGGCAAGCTCAGCAAGATAGTACTGAGTAGTGAGGGGATGGGGATGGTCGTCAAGTCCTCCGTGGGCGTTGAGGTGATCCAATTTCATTTCGATCCCGCTGGCTGTGCGTGTCATGGCGTTGAGCATGGCATCTGAGCACAATGCGTAGAAATCTGCGCCAGTGTAGTTGAATGGACATCTTCTCGCGATTTCGGCGAGGCTCAGGGAAGCGTCTAGCTTGAATTTCCGAGTCAATGCCTCCAGAATGTTCAGCTGCGCTGCATCCGTGTCGCTGACACCGAGATACAGCAGTCGGTCGAATCGGCCCGGCCGCAAGAGTGCAGGGTCGAGCAAATCTGGTCGGTTTGTCGCACCAACGACAAACACGTCCGCGCTGCCGCCAGCGGACATGCCGTCGAGTTCAGCGAGCAACTGACTGACAATTCGGTCCATGACTCCACCAGAGTCGCCGTGATTTCCGCGTTTGGGTGCAACCGAGTCCAACTCATCGAAGAAAATGACACAAGGTTTAGCATCCCGAGCCCTTTGGAAAACTCGGCGCACATTTGCCTCAGATTCACCAATGTACATGTTGAGCAGCTCGGGGCCCTTGACGGAGAAGAAATTCAGGGAGCATGATGTAGCTACCGCTTTAGCCAGCATCGTTTTGCCTGTTCCCGGCGGGCCATACAATAGAATACCCGATCGTTTCTTCAAGCCGTCACCGAATAACTCGGGGTGGTCAAGCGGAAGTTGGATTGTGTCCAAGATGTCAGACTTCACAGACGCCAGTCCACCGATGTCATCCCAAGAGACGTTCGGAATCTTGGGCGCCCCAATACTTTCGGAGTAGGCCGCTCGCGCTCTGTCTAGAGCCTTTGAGAAATCGTTAGCTGTGATCGCAACTCCGGCTTCCATCACATCCTCTTCGCTGCGGTCTCTGCAGGACTTGAGGTTGAGCAGGCACTCTGTCTCATTCACTCACGTGATGCGACTTGCCCGTTGCACAGCCAGAGCTCCAGCACGACGAACCAGTGCATCAAGATCACGAGCAACGAGTGCAGCTGTTTCCGTAGCCACCTTTTCAATAGACGCATCGGGGGCCAGGGTATGTTCAGCCAGCAAGGTCCGAAGGATGTCGTATCGCTCTGCTTCACTCGGCGCCTATCGGAGGTTGAGTGCTGAACGATACAAAAGAGAAGAGGTAACGAACCGGAAATATAACTCTATGCTTGAAGCAGGACAGCATCGCTACTGGAACCTGATCCAGGGCTGAGATTGTGCCAAAAACAAGTACTGGGTGTCCTGAGGGCTTCCAACATTTCTGCACGGTCTGGATGCAATCTCGCAAGGCAGCAAAAATGGGCGAGTCTAGAATGTATTTAGGATGGAACTATTCCAGTCTGAAGAAATTGAACCTTTGTTGGGGTCAGAGCATAGCGCCTCCAGGTGGCGCAGCAGCAAAACACAAGGCGAGCATTCCTCCGCTTTATCAAATCGAGCACGGAGAGTGCCTTCGGTCTTGATATCCGTCTCTCCAAGCAGATCAAAGCAGTCGACTTCGAGGAGATGCATGCCCAATGTTTCGGCGACCCAGCAAGCAGTCGTGAATTTCCCTGTGCCCCGAGATCCTTGCAATAGAAGGGATAGATCGAGCCGAAGATCAGCTGCGCTGACGTGCATACTGGCAGAACAGACGGACAGCAAATTGGCATATGCCGAGGACTGCTGCAGCAACCGGGTATCGGGCAAACCGTTAAGCACAGAAAACAGCGCACGCGGGCTTTTCTTGTCGGTCAGAAAGTAATTTCCGATGCGGGGAACGGCTGAGTGCTGAACTCCGGCTTGAATGAGACGCGTGACGGATGGATCGAGCCAGAAACCAAGTTCACCCCTCGTCGAATCTACGTACACGTCATTCCCGTTCGTCTCAGGATTGCCATCTTTCACATCGTGTTCGATGCTAGCAATGACGAAGAAGACGACATCATAGGCCTGTGAGCCATAAGACCTAGGGAATATTGGCTAACATCTCGACGAATTGCGAAAGACTCGCCTTTCGTCTTGCAATTCAAGCTCTTCCTCTTCGACTAGCCAAGTATTGACGTTGACCGCGATCAGATCCCCTCTCTTGACTAAACGCTTGCACGACCTGAAGTAACTTCGCAAAGCCCACAGAAACGAGGCTTGGTACGTTCGGTCGACAGATATAGGGGAAGCAACACGTAGCATAGTCACGGCCCTGGCTGTAGGTATCGTCGGCCGACTCGAACCAAAGGGACCGGGGTGGAGGGACAAGATGGGATTTTGTGATATACCACAAACATTATGGAGGAATGTTGGTGAAGCTTGGACAACACCTCTGAGAAGCTTAGCTCCTGCTCATTATCCACCGGTAAGCACGCACCGGGAGGTAGACGTCAAGTCTCTGGCTATCACTCGAGCCAGCCTTTGCCCAGATGAAGCGCGAGCAATCACCCAATCTCCATCTAACCCACCCAAACGACCGAGATCTGCGGCATGAACGTACACGGTACAATCTTCGTAGTCTCCTTTGAAATGTGGACGATTTAGTGGTCGGCATTCAAATGTGATAATTTTGCTTCCGGTATCATCCGGGATAGATTGGATGGATTCCGAAAGAGCGGGAGCCAGGAAACTTTCGTCGATCTCCAACAATTCCTGCAGGCTCTCTGCATCCGATTCGGTCTCTTGAGGACGGTCAAGGGTGAGGATGACCTTGGTGGCGCCTCGCATGACTCGACCCTGCATGACGGGCTCGAGCATATCGACGCGATACTTCAGGTCGTTATGTCCTTCTGAACCCGACCCCTTCCCTGGGCCCTGGGATAACAAGCAACACACATCTCCCTGGTGCAGTATCAAAGCATCGTTGTATAGCCAGTCGTCCAATCTGAGACTGCTCTCGTATGCCTCGGTAGAAAGTGCTGCCAACACTACTTCGGTGAGAACGATCGGCGTCCCCGCCTTCGCATCTGACTCGACTTCTGGAGGATCGCTTTCAACAATTGAACAAAACATAAATGAAAAATTATACCGAGGACGGTGTCTGGAGGACCCATGTCTCGTTGGAATCCGCCAGAATCCGCCTCGTCCACCTCCCCGTCAACCCACCCGACACGTCACGTGACCAACACGCAAAGGACATGGGTTCGAGTCTCGGTGGAAATTTCTTATGTCAACTAGATTCTTTACTCAAAGCAATGATAAAAACAAATTGATTTTATTTTGGATTTCGATTGGTATTCTCGCCAATCCGAGCGCGTTTTGACGCGTCTGTTTCACTGCTGTTGTGTTTTTCTTCCTTTGCTTGTGCTCAGGGCTCCCTTGATTGGCCGAATTTTGTGATCGGCAACGATCACATATTTTGTCAACAAGGTGATTTATCTGGTGGCCGTTCACCTCAGTAGTAAATGGCTGTAAAATGAAATGTGCCTGTTCATCGATCGTAGCTCAAAACAAGACCGACTTCGAACAACCTGAAGAAGGCGGATGAATCGAACTGGAAGATAGGCACACGCACTCTGTGGTCGGACCAGCACACAGGCGATTCGCTGTATGCTTTCCAAGTAAAACCGTGTCCGCCGCCACATCCTGGATTTCAAAAGTAGTTTCGATCAAAGGCCAAGGATTGAACATCACGATCACAACAGGATCAAACAATCTCACATTTTACTTTCAGCATAACTCACATGAGTCGAGGAGGATTCCGAGGAGGCGGAGGAGGGGGATTCAGCCGTGGGGGAGGTATGCTGCTCCTATTGGCTCTGTGAAATACGGCTATAACTTATTCTTCGAGGACGGGGAGGTGGACGAGGCGGATTCCAACAACGAGACATGGGTCCTCCAGACACCGTCCTCGGTATAATTTTTGATTTATGTTTTGCTCAATTGTTGAAAGCGATCCTCTAGAATTAGGGACCTTTGTCCACGCCGTTGAAGATGAAATGTTATGTTCTTCGACCATGGCCGACAAAGTGCCATATTTCAATGCTCCAATCTACCTGCAAAACAAATCTGTAATCGGCAAAGTCGACGAAATCTTGGGACCCATCAACGAAGTTTACTTCTCCGTGAAGATGGGTGACGGGATGGTTGCAAGCAGTTTCAAAAAGGGCGATAAAGTGTACATCGGGGGAGATAAGTTGTTGCCAATAGAACGGTTCCTCCCTAAACCGAAAGTCGTTGGAGGTACATCTCCTTTCTTATTTCTCAGGACAGGCAGGCTGATATCTTTTTCTAGGGGTGACAAGTAAGGGAAACCACCATCTAAGCTATGCGGATATTTATGCAGAATATAGAAAAGCGCGGACGCGGTGCACCCGGCGGTGCTCGAGGAGGGCGTGGCGTTGGCAGCCGGGGAGGATTCCAGTCAAGAGGTGGGCCAAGAGGTGGTGGTCGCGGCGGTGGTCGCGGCGGATTTGGTGACAGAGGACGGGGTGCTGGACGGGGCGCTGGGGGCTTCAGTGGAGGTTTCGCCTCCCGCGGTGCGCCAAGAGGTCGAGGCGGCTTTTCTCGAGGTTATTAACTCCAAAATACACCTCAGTTTGTACATCAGCTCTGTAGGATTGCGCGCGGTCACGTTTACTAAGATAACGGTGAAACCTCACGAATGTTATTGTAACGCACACCTGTGTCCAGTCACTCCTCTGAGTGCATCTAACATCGCGGATTCGTATGCAGTTTTGGAAACCGGGTACCGTCGCTCCGGGCAGCAATCTCGATCGAGAAACGGACGCTGAAGACTACGCTGTACCTTCTTCGGCCAATTCTTCCTTGTCCATTCAAAGCCAGCGAGAACGATTACCCATCTTCAAACATAGCAAGTGGAATGTTGTATGCGAACGACAGAATCATGCTCAGCAGAAAGACATTCAGGAGAAAAGTTGTTGTATGCTATCGAAACGCACGGAGTTGTCGTCGTCGTGGGGCAAACAGGATGCGGAAAAACCACTCGTGAGAAGTTCACGCTCTCTCCAATGAAGAGTCGTTCACCTTGCCTCAGAGCTGCCTCAGTATCTCATGGAATCTGGATGGGGTGGCGATGGTAAAATTATCGCGTGCACCCAGCCTCGTAGGGTCGCCGCAACTTCTGTTGCAACAAGAGTAGCGACAGAAGTTGGCTCGATATTAGGAGATGAAGTGCGCCTTTTCATCGGTTATCGTATGGATTCTTTAACAGATTGAATTGTAGGTGGGCTACACGATCCGGTTCGAGGATGTCAGTGACAAGGAACGCACCAGAATATTGTACATGACAGATGGAATGCTGTTTCGTGAGACGCTGGTGGATCCGTTGTTGAGTCGATATAGTGTCATCATGGTGCGTTGGGTTTCTTCTTCGTCCTGGAGCCGCGTCTCATTTGCACAGATTGACGAAGCTCATGAACGGAGTGTGTATACCGATCTTTTATTCGGCGTATTGAAAAAGTATGAGGGAGTCGCGCTTCCTGAAGAATCCGGTCTCGAATATTTCTATAGGATACGTCGAAAACGACCATCTTTGAGATTGATCGTCTCGTCTGCTACTTTGGATGCCACTTCCTTCCTGGAATATTTTACATCAGGAACCCTTGCGGACGAGGCCACCATCGTTAGTTTGGAAGGACGGATGTATCCAGTTCGAGTGGCATACTTGCAAGAACCTGTTCCGGACTACGTCAGGAAGGCAAGTCAGGTTGCCTGGGATATCAATCTTCATGTAGGCTCCGAATCATGTCTATTGTGCGATTGTGTCTCAATTCGTTCCGCAGCAGGGACCAGGCGACATTTTGATGTTTTTGACGGGGAGAGAGGACATAGAGAGATGTCTCGCAGAGTTCTCGGATCTGTTGCCCTCGTCAGTGCATCTCTTGACACAAAGTTGCTGCTCAGGATTTGATAGGCTACCCCGAGGTGCTATGCGTTTGATCCCATTGGCCCTGCACGCAGGACTGTCAACAGAGGAGCAACTGCGCGTGTTTGACCCCGCAGGACGTGGTTCCCGCAAAGTGATTGTGTCCACGAATATTGCAGAGGTACATTTGGTGGCTGCGCTTTCCACGTCTGACCGCCTCAGGCCAGCGTCACCATCGAAGGGATCAGATTTGTGATCGACTCCGGTTTTGTCAAGATCCGAATGTTCAATCCAACCACCGCTCTTGCATCGCTAGTCACCGTTCCAACCTCGGTTGCATCAGCCACTCAGCGAGCTGGCCGGGCTGGTCGAACGTCGGCGGGCATCTGCTACCGGCTGTATCCGTCGTCCGCTTTCGATGCACTTCCGTTGTCGACGCCACCGGAAATCACACGGACAGATATGACGACTCCCATCTTACAACTCAAGTCTTTGGGTATCGACGATCTGACGAAGTTCGAATGGGTGTCCGCACCACCTTCAGAAAGCGTACTAAGAGCGTTGGAAGGCCTTGTCGCTGCTGGAATGATCGGAGAAGACGGCCGGTTGACAGTCGTGGGGGAACAGGTCGCGGAATGTCCAGTGGAAGTGGGCATCGCTCGCATGGCACGTCTCAATCGTTTTTCACCTTTGTCTCTTCTCACCATCGGCTAGCTTTTCAACTCCAAAGATCTCAAGTGCGGGGAAGAAATCTTGACTATTGCAGCCATGACTGCAGTTCAGGATGTATTTGTGATTCCAGACGGAGCAGTCGGTGCATTGGCAGAGCTGGAGCGAAGGAAATTTACAGCAGAAGAAGGGGTCAGCTAGCATTCCTCGTCTGTTTGGCTATTGAACTCATCCACGCGCAGGATCATCTCACCTTGCTAAACGGCATGTCGTTTTGATTATCCCCGAAGATGCATGTGCTTACGCGGGCATAGCCTATAACGCATTCAGCCGCCTCGGTCGATCCTCAGGCTGGTGTAAATCCCATGCACTCTCTTTCAGAGCCATGTCACGTGCGGTATCGATTCGCGCCCAACTGAAAAAATTTATGCAGCGATTCAATCTCCCCATCGAAAGCTGCGAGGGCGATGCAAAACGTCTCAGGCAATGCCTGGTAAGCGGCTACTGGCGCAACGGTGCCAGATGGATCGCCGACGGAACTTATCGTTCAGTACGAGGAAATCGGGTGCGTTTCCCTTGATTTTCGATGACGTTCATGGATGGACCAGGACGCAGACACTCCATGTACATCCTACCTCGGTCTTGTTCACGCGGAAGCCGCGGTCAGGCTGGGTCATATTCCACGAGATGGAAGAAACCAAAAAGACACAGTTCGTACACCAGATGTTTGCTGTCTCCTGGCACTCAAGTTCGATAGAATTCGAATATTAACTGAGATAGAACCTGACTGGCTCTTGAGTCATGGCCATAAAGTCCAATTAAACAGTCGGCCCTGACTTGTATCGTATCATATTGTAGCCTCGGTAGTTTCGTTCAAACACCGCAGTTTGAGAAACACGTCGCTGCCTTGGGATAGAATAAGCCTTGAGCTTGCCGGCAGACATCAACCACTCACCCCAGCCCTCCAATGACATGAGATCGAGAGAGCCTCCGAAATACTTGGCATACAATCTACTCATAGGCAGGCCATAACCCAGACCGGCGATGGAGCCCAGACCGGTTTGCAGGCCTTTTGAAGTGATTTCATTGAACAGATTGCTGTCTCCTCCACCAATATGAGCTAGTCCTCCAACATGTTGTGCAGCGTAGGGTCCGCCTCCGCCGTCCAAGTCGTGATCCGCGTTGCTCTTTGCTGTAGTAAAGGCGTACGAGAAAATTCGGGCCATATTGGCGGGAGAGACACCTCCGCCCTCGTCTCTGATGCGGATGCAATAGAAATCCAAATCATCTGAGCTGGGTGGGACCAATGTTATATGCACAGGCGGCAACTGTCGTTGGTTCCGATGATGCTCAACAGTGGCGCGGAATGAGTTTTTTAAAATCTCAGTCAGAATGTATTCCAAATGGACTGGGACATATCTGTGAGCAGTGTTGAGAGCGTAACATATTGCGTGAATATGACATACGCCAACGTCGAATCAGGGAAACCGTCAATCTCGATTGAAGGACTCGCCCCCAGCGTGGCCAGGGATAGCTCGGCAACGTATGATTCACACATACGGATCATCTGTGTCGGAGAACAGTTCATGTCCACAACACCAATACGATCGGACTGCATCTCCACAACGTTCTCCAATGCTTGAGAGATGGCTATATGCTGCTCGGCAATGAGACGAATGGAGATGCGATTTTGAATGGCGCGGTCCAAGAAATTGGTGATTTGCGCCGGTGATATGTATTTCGAGCTCTCAAGAAATCTGACGTCGTGAGGCCAAGGATCTCTCTCAGACTGAAACTCACCCCTTTGCCATTGTAGGTATGTCATTCGCGTGTCGCTCAACCAGATTCGCCAACTGTTCTGTAAATCGTTTGTTGTCCTCAAGAGTGATAACAGGGGAATGACTGTTGCATCGAAAGTCAGCTTTCCAGCCCTGGCATTCCGATAACTCAAGCTGACTTGGCAAGCAATTCAAAACTGTCACGATATGCCTCTAGTGTGTTGGCTATGTAGGGGTTCGTTCCAACGATGAAGGGAAGAGATTCCAAGGCCCGCACTCTTCTGGCGAGACGTCTGGGCAGTTCGGCCAGAGCAAACTGGACAGATGCTATTACTGAAGTGGGAGAAACCTTGTTGGGGGGTAAGAAAGCTGACACACCCCGGTCTAATGGAAAGGTTACAGGTCGGCCAAACGAGAGCAGCGAAGTCAGATCAAGCGCTCTGGGAGGAGACAGTGCGAATTCTTCTAGAAGACGCAAAGTGCCTGGTCCCATGTGAGAGGCTTGTGCTCGTAATGAGTGCAGCATTATCGAGCAAAGTAACAAGTCAATTCCCTAGGCTCAAGTCATCAGATCACCTGCTAGTTTCGGCAGTCAAGTCGTTGCGGTCACGTGTCACGTGTCAATGTGACAGACTTGTCACATTGTCTCTTGTTGACCCCCGCGTACAGTCCTTTGTCGCACTTTCCTTTGTTTCTCCCTCTCTTCTATCTCTGCTCCATCCAACCACATTCTGGAGTCACTGTTCAAATGTCCGGCTTGAAACATTCGCCTTTTGGGAAACGGCTTCGTGCTGCTCAGCAGGATCCTGAAGACGAGCGGCCACCCTCTAACCGGCAACGCCTCGACGAGGAGACGACAGACTCGCGCAGTTATGGCGATAGATTTATACCCACACGCGAATCTGGGGATATGCGAACATCTTATCACCTGAAGGACGAAGCGGGCCCTTCAACACCCTCCAAAAAGTCGAGATTAATCCCATCTGAGTCGGATGCTTTAAAGGGTGCGCCGCAATTTTACTCGTGGACACAGTCTCACAACTAGTGACTACTAGAACAAGCCAATTCTCTCTTTACTTCTATCCTTCAGGCTGAAGTGACGCCACCGGACCAGCGCCCCATTTCTCCCACAAGACCTTCGCCTCTAATAGCCTCGAATGCCACCCCGTCAACTCCAACTCGGCGAAGAATCTTCAACTATCAATCCCCGTCAACCTCGGCCCCATCGACCCCAACGAGACGGCTCGATGTTACAACTGATGCGGCTTACTCGATGAGCCCCGTTCGTGCCGAGAGCCGGCAACTGCTGGAGAGTCCCAGACGGCAACTCAGAAATGTGTGCAAAACTCCGTATCGAGTGCTGGACGCGCCGGAGCTAGCAGAGGACTTTTATTTGAACCTGGTCGATTGGTCCAGTACGAATGTGTTGGGTGTGGGTTTGGGCAGTTGCGTATATCTTTGGACTGCCCATAATGCAGCGGTGAATCGTCTGTGCGATCTTGCTGACACCGGAGACTCCATTAGCTCGGTTTCTTGGGTCCAAAAGGTGTGTAATACATCAGTATTGGCAATTTACTCATCAGCAGCAATGGTCAGGGTTCCACCTTGGCAGTCGGAACGATAAGCGGGCGTCTTCACGTTTATGACGCCAACCGGCTTACCCTCCAAAGGACATACGCGAACGCTCACACACAACGGATCGGTGCTCTTGCCTGGAACGCCCATGTGCTGTCATCAGGCTCGCGAGATCGACAAGTCCATCATCGAGATGTGCGTGAACCAGGAATGCGTCCATTCAAAAAATGCACGGGCCATCGACAAGAGGTCTGTGGACTGAAGTGGAGCGGTGACGGCGGTGTCGGTTCGGCAAATCTTGCGAGTGGTGGAAATGACAACAAAGTCTGCATCTGGGATCTGCGTGGTTCGAGAAGGAACACCGGGGCTGCCGGTCGCTCGAACAGCACAGCTGCTACAGATGACGCCGACACACCACTTTGGAAGTTCCACGAACATACGGCAGCTGTCAAGGCTTTGGCCTGGGATCCACATGTCTCCGGAGTTTTGGCAACCGGAGGGGGTACTCAGGATAAACACATTCGTTTCTGGAACACAGTGAGTGGGAGCATGCTCAATGAGTTGGACACTGGTAGCCAGGTGCGTCTGCTGTCGTGTAGCAGGGGTGCTTATAGACGCGATCGCAGGTCTGCAACCTCATTTGGTCCTTAACTTCACATGAGCTTGTTTCTACGCACGGGTTCTCGTCCACAACCGCCCAAAACCAAATATGTATCTGGAAATACCCAACACTGAACATGGTGGCCTCCCTGACAGGACACACCAACCGCGTGCTCTATCTTGCGATGAGTCCTGACGGGGAGACTATTGTGACTGGTGCTGGGGACGAGACCCTCCGGTTTTGGAACGCTTTCCCAAAGCGGGAGGTCGGGGAGAGAGGCACCGAAAGTCGTTTGGATTATGGTCGTCTGATCCGGTGACCGAATGCTACAGAGTCCAACTAGGTTCCTAGCTTACATGTACATAACTATACATCACATTCATCTCGTTCGATTTTCCACTTCCGTTGCAGTGGGAAATATTCCTAAATATAGGCAAGGAGATCTAATCGCATCTGTATACCATTGTTTGTCTTCGCCTTTTTTTGGCGAAGACACCCTTGCACCGACTATCTTTCCGACATGACCGACGTCGTCAATCCAACAGATGATATGCCCGCAGCCGTTTCTGAAGCTGCTGCGCCTGCTGAGAAGGCTCCGGCGGTCGCAACCTCGGGCACTGATCCTGAGGACCCGGTGACGATGGCAAAGGCGGCCCGACAGAGTCAGTCTCTGTATATTGGCGAGATGTACATGCATTAATCCCGTTGCAGTTGAGTTCTATTTCGCCGACTCGAACCTCCCTTTTGACAGGTCAGTGCTTGCGGTTGACGACGAGCTGACTGTCGTGCGAATGATACCCGCCAGGTTCATGTGGACGCTACACACCAAGACTTCTGAGCATTGGGTTCCTATTGCTACAGTCGCGTCATTCAAGCGTATGCGACCATTTTCCACGTTTGGGACGGCGTGGGTTGCTCGCGCTCTGCGGGAGAAGAGCACCTCCTTGGAAGTGGATGCTGAGGGCGTGAACGTGCGCCGAACAAGCGAAGTTCAGGAGCCCAAGGATCAGCTTGAGCGCAGTGTCTATGCAGTCGGTGCTCTACCTCAATATTCTGTCCCGTATATCTGATCTGCAACCAGAAAGGATTTCCAGAAGAGAATTCCACACTGCAAACTCGGTTAGAGGAATTTTTTGAGCAATACGGTCCGACGAACGCAGTCCGCATGCGCCGAGATAATGATAAAAAGTTCAAGGTACCCTCGTCATTTGGTGATCGCCATTTGTTGTTATAATGCCTACTTTAGCTCTCGGTATTCGCGGAGTTCACGTCCCAATCAGCGGCAGACGCGTTTCTAAATGCCGAACCCGCACCGGCCTTTGACGGAGTGCCTCTACTGACGATGTCCAAGGAAGCATACTGTGACATGAAAGTGCAGGAAAAGGGATTGACCGGAAAAGCTGCCGACTTTCGTAAAAACGTCTATTCGGGGCGCAAATTTGATGCGTTCCGGGAGATGGCCAATGGAACGGACGCGACTATGGAGGATGCGACTGGCAAGGACAAGGAAGACCCGAAAGAGGTTTATCTCGAATTCATGGGTTCAACAATTTTAATTCGCCGCAATGGAGACGGAGTCGGTGAGGTTGATGAAGCCGATGTACCCTTTGTTAAGGGCGCAACCTTGCGGTTTGATGGAGTTGATGCCGCTTCCAAGGTGTTCTTTGCTACAATCAAGGTCGGTACCCGCTTTGTCTTGTTATCTGCGTTGACACGGGCCCAGAACCCGCTCAAAGAAAAGTTCGGTCGTCCCCCCTTCATCCAACATACGATCGGGAATTCATTTGGTCTCGTCGGTTTCCATAAAGAACTGAATGAGGACGAGATCCAATTCGTGAAGGACTCTCTTCCGAAAATCGGCGACAAGGTTGTGTCCTGGGGACCTGTCGGTGGTGTGTTTTCCAGGGCAGAATGTTGCATCCAACCAACCTGAGAATATTTTCAGAGGAAGAAGAGAAACAATTCCAGATCGAACGTGCTCAGGGGGCTGCCAAACTTGCTATTGAACAGGCAGGCACAACTTCGTCACTGGGAAGTCGGGGCCGGGGCCGAGATCGTGGGGGTGCTCGGGGTCGGGGAGGACGAGGGGGCCGAGATCGGGGCAGAGGCCGAGGGCGGGGAGGACGGGATTCAGGTCGATCTAAGGGCCCTGCCACTGCAAACACAGATATGGAGGATAGTGTGGTTGGTGAAAAACGGAAACGCCCTATCGAACCCGATGGCGGTCCGAATGTCGGCGTTAGGGGCAAGGGCGCTCCACCAGCCATTACTTCCAAAAGAAACAAGGCAGAGGAGGGGTCATAGGCGCTTAGCAGCTCGAGATTCTCTTTTCATGTAGTTGGAATGAATGTGTGTATCATCAGGTACTTCCATATGTGACGGCCGCTGCTGAAAATGATCAAGGAGGTGTATCATAGTAAATCCATTACGCATGTGGATTAAAAAATGCTCACTCTGAGGGTCGAACTCAGGACCCTTGCATATGATGTCTTGTTGGGACAGGTTTCCACATAAGTACAATGCACTACCACTGTGCTAAGCGAGCTCAAGGACGTTTCACATTTGAAACAATATCAGCATATGTAAATAAAGTAGGAAGCAAGCAGATGAACAACTTGCTAGTATTATTGTTATTCTTTGCTGTATCTTCTGGTTTCATCATAAGCCTTGAATTTCTCGTTCGGTATTCTGACCTCAGCCGGGATCTTGCAAATCGTTTCTTTCACGTGATCTGATTAAGCGATCCAAAATTTTGCCGTTGCTCACGTCTTCTCATCCTCACCACTCGACTTCAACAAGATGTCTACCAGCGGTCTGAAGGCCATCGCCCCGGTCCCCACAGCGGCGGATTTCTTGGACATCGTTTTGTCCAAGACTCAAAGGAAGACCCCAACGGAAAGCTCATCTCTTTTGGCCGGCACGCACATCGAACTGACGGTTCATCCCTTCAGGTCATCCACAAGAACTTCAAAATCAGCCGTATCCGTAATTTCTACATGCGAAAAGTCAAGTTCACGCAAGACTCGTTCGATGAAAAGCTCAGTGCCATTCTGGACGACTTCCCGATGCTCGACGATATTCATCCTTTCCTCTCCTCACTCATGAATGTTCTGTACGATAAGAACCATTACAAGCTTGCTCTTGGTCAGCTTCGTACGGCACGACATTTGATCGACCAAGTCGCCAAAGATTATGTGCGGTTACTAAAGTTTGGCGATTCGTTGTATCGATGCAAGCAGCTTAAGAAAGCTGCTCTCGGTCGGTATGTCTGCTGCTCTCTCTGCATCTCTGCGATTTCCTTATCTTTAATTAGTATGGCTACTATCATGCGCCGACAAAAAGACCCCCTAGCCTATCTAGAGCAAGTTCGCCAACATATATCTCGTTTACCTGCCATCGACCCCAACACAAGAACACTCATTATATGCGGGTATCCTAACGTTGGAAAGTCTTCATTCATCAATAAAGTTACCCGGGCCGATGTCGACGTCCAACCATATGCATTCACCACCAAATCTCTCTTCGTTGGACACTTGGACTACAAGTACTTGCGGTGGCAAGTCATCGACACCCCTGGTATATTGGATCACCCGCTCGAAGAAATGAACACGATCGAGATGCAGAGTATTACTGCTCTGGCGCATCTCAAAAGCTGCGTCCTCTACTTCATGGATCTGAGCGAACAGTGCGGATACACGGTCGAGGCACAATGTAAACTATTCCACTCCATCAAACCGCTTTTCGCCAATAAGCCGACGATGCTCGTCATGAACAAGATCGATGTAACCCGTCTGGAAGATCTCAGCTTCGACTCGCGGGCGCTTGTTCAAGAGATCATCGACAGCGAAGACGTCGTCTCCGTGCAGGTCTCGTGTTACTCAGATGAGGGTGTCATGGACCTGAAGACCAAAGCTTGCGACGCTTTGCTCGCTCACCGAGTCGAGAGTAAAGTGAACGGCACAAAGATCAACTCGGTGATAAATCGTATCCACGTGGCGCTTCCGAAACCCAGGGACGAGGTTATACGCGCCCCGTTCATTCCAGAGGCCATCAAAGAACGCAAGAAGTACGACAAGGAAGACCCGGAGAGGCGTATACTATTGCGGGATACCGAGGCTACTGAGGGTGGAGCAGGAGTGTTCAACATTGATCTCAAACGTGAGCACCTACTCTCTTTGAAGTTGACGGTGGCCGACTGTTCTTTTCCCAGGCGACTACCTACTTGCGAACCAGGACTGGAAATACGACGTCATTCCCGAGATTATGGATGGCAAAAACATCGCAGATTTCATCGACCCCGATATTGCCGAGAAACTCGAGGCGTTGGAGCGCGAAGAAGAACGATTGGAGGCAGAGGGTTTCTACAACAGCGATGAGGAGATGGTCAGTACGACCATTAGATGCATCTCATCAGTCGGCTAACACTGTGTTAGGACGATTCTGAAGACGATCGTGAACGTATCGCAGCTCGGATTGCCCTCTCTCACAAAATTCACTCGCAGAGCATCAAAAAGAGCAAGAAGAACCAAGCTCGACTGCCACGATCTGCTGGCCTGTCAACATTGTCGCAAATGACAACGAGTCTGACAAAGGCGGGTCTCGATCCGAGTCGGATTGTGGAGCGCGCCGCTGCTTTGTCCGGCAAGCGGAAACGGGACACCGACGATGTCGAAATGGGAGATGCTGACGACGGGGAGGCTGAGGATTGGATGGATGTCGACGGGAACGAACCTTCGTCATCGACAAAGCGACTGAAGACAAACGCCGGGGCTGTTGTCAGTAAACGCGAGCCCAGAGCTAACCGTTCCTTGGCTGGGCTGCGTGATCAGACGGTATCCACACGTTTACTTATCGGATCGAACTTTCTGCTGATACATTCTATAGCAAGCCTCCCAAGCCGTCAAGCTGCGTAACCTCGGGCAGCGACCCCGCAACATGCTTGCGAAGGCGGGAGAGGGCGATCGTGCAATCACAACCAAAATGGTAATTGGTTTTCATTCTACCTGTTTACTAGTTTTAACACCGTTTCAGCCTAAACATCTCTTTGCTGGCAAAAGAAAGGCAGGAAAAACTCAAAGGAGATAATCTTTGGACTCGGTCCTTGATCTTTATTGATATCTGTTCCTTTATCTGTCTTCATTTAGCATGTGACATGCTATCAGTACATTCATCATCAATTGTTATCATCGCAGAAAGTGTTCTGGATGGTACACACAGCCTGGGATCCTACTCAAAAAGCTGATTTATCTTAACTTTCTTTCACAAATATAAAACTCAAAACAATTGTAATGAATATGTGACTCTATTAGAGCTGTCCAGATGCAGGCTTGGAGCTGCTTTTGGAGCTAAATTTCTAAGAGATATATGTCAATTTTAAGAGAATCATGCAGGAATGATACTCCACTAGGCATGTGACTGGCCGGAGGATCCACTGATGTGGTAGGTTATAGACCTCAGCAAACATGTCTTATGCAACACTTACATCACTGCAACTCATATCCACACATACTGCAATAGCGGCACTTCTAAGCAACACTTTGAGGTGCATGCTCACAATCATGCTTGGCCCATTAGCTGATGTGAATGATACTGATTTGTTCAACTTCCTTTGCTGTGAAACTAACACTGGCAACAGCATGTTGACTTGGAGCCTGCTACTATCCCTGTTGCACAATTCTGGAAATGAGGGAAGGAGACTACAGATTGTAGACGGATGACCCAGTCAGTCCTCAGTCACACCAGACAGTGGTAAGACTCAGGTATATACCTGTAGACAGATGACCCAGTCAGTCTACAGGACGGATAAGTATCTAGATATAAATATAAGGTAATGACCACGTACCCTCAGTCACACCAGACAGTGGTAAGACTGAGGGCCGTGAAACGATCGGAAAACTTCCTATGTCTGCTCAATCATACAAACACATCATAACGCTGAGTGCCACTTGCTGACATGATCAGCATTCATCATCAACACTCCCCCTGGTGCTCAGCTCTCCTCCAGTCCAGTCTGAGCGCGTGGCAGATGCGGCTGTGATCCGTTCGCCCGAGTGCCTTTGTCAGAATGTCCGCGACATTCATCTTGCCGGGGACCGACGTGACAGCGATCTCCCCCTTGCTAACGCAGTCGCATATATAGTGAAACCGGATATCAATGTGTTTCGCAAGGCCATGTCCTTTTGTCGTCTCCGTGAGGCTTATGGAGCCAAGGTTGTCACCTCAAAGCTCCAACGGTGTTTCCTGCGGCAGGAACACTTCCGACAGCCAGTGTTTCATCCACATTGCTTGCTGAGATGCACGTGCCAGAGAGATGTATTCCGCTTCCGTTGAGGATAGCGTGACCACCGCTTGTTGTTTTGCCGATCATGCTACCGGGGCCCCGCCCATGAAAAAGATGTAGCCGGCGGTAGATCTCCGTGTTTCGACACACCCCGCCCAGTCGGAATCCACGAATCCGATCAGCTTCAAGCTGTCTCCGACACGATATCTGATCCCATAGTCAATGGTACCTTTGATGTATCGTAAGACGCCGATCAATATTGTCCAGTGCTCTGGTCCAGGGTTAGATTGGACGTGGCCAAGCGCGCAGCACGCATATGCAAGGTCGGGTCGTGTGCCACTGCTCCCCCAGACAATGCAGCCTAGGATCTGCCAAAACAGTTTATTTTGCATGAACGCGGTGTCCTCGGTCGGAAGCGGGGATGGAGATGCACGGATCTGGTATCCAGGTGGAAGCGGAGTTGACAGCGGAGGTAGATTTGCATAGCCGAAGTGGTCCAATACTTTTTCGAAGTACTGGCGCTGCGATAACGCTATATTGCCATTGGGAAACTTCTCCACGGTCAGTCCTAGCAGTAAATTTAGATTGACCTGCTTCAGATCCCATTTTTCCGCGAACTCCTCTACCACGCGCGCACTTTCTTCCTCGCTGGCGGAAGCGCCGATGATGTCGTCCGTGTGGGTGCTTGTGATTGTGTGTTCTCCGCCTTGTTTCCTTGTCCGAACGCACAGGTCGGTGGCGTTTTCGTGATATCCCAGATCTTGATACTCAGCACTCAATGTCTTGTACCAAATGTGCCCAGCTTGGACCAGCCCATAGAGTGGTCATAAGAGAAGACAGACCTTGTCTTCCCTCCCCTTCTCTTCGAATCCACGCGGCTGTTTCATGTAAATGGCCCGGTCCATCGTGCCATTCAGGTAGGCTTCCGAGAAGTCCCATTGCTGTACGTGCATCCTTCTCACACATGCAACTGCAAACACCATGCGTACGGATTCCATCCGAGCCACCATCGCCCACTTTGTTCCGAAGTCGTGCCCTTCTACCATTTGATCCCCCCTCGCAACCTACCTGGCTTTTCTCTTTACGATGTTTCCTTCTCCATCCACTTTCACATCAAAGACCCACATCCCGTCCAATGCTCTTTCCCCCTCTGGTAAGTCAACGAGTCTCCATACGCCCTTTTGTTTCATCTGATTCATCTCTTCCTTCATAGGTTCCCCCCAGATCTCCGGTTCCTTCAACGCTTCTGCCCCTGACCTTGGGAGTCTACCTTTCGTTGCGCTAGCCAGTGCCATCAGGGTTGTAAACAAGTCTTCGTCGAAGGTGTCCCCTTCCAGGTCTACAAAGTTCACGCTCGGTCGAATTGAGTCCCGCGCCCAGTCTTCGTTTGCACGTCTTGCCTCTGCCTCTTCCCTTTTCGCGATATGGCTCTCTAGCATCTTCCGACTGGGTTTTGGTATCCGACTCGTCATTCTGGGGATCGGAGGTACGTTCGTAATCAAATTGTGCTCGTTGGTCTGTCCATTCGCTGCGTCTTGCTCTGGGACTGTGTCACTCATGTTCGGTGGTCCATCCTTGCCTTCCCCAGTTGGCTGTTCAGCTATACGGTCTTTGTCAGTGGACATAACATTTGTGTTGTTGCTGGTGGGCTCTGCTCCACTTGTATGGTGAGCTTCCCCCTCCTCAAATATGACGTTTCTGACTTTGAAGACCTGCATTCGCTTTGGGTCGTACACTTGGTAGCCGCGGCATCCCATGTATCCCACCATTTGGCCTTCCCACCCTTGGCGACCCAGCTTCCCTTCCCGTTCGTCCAAGTCCTTCACCTAGCAGACGCTGCCCCAAACGCATAGGTGTGAAATATTTGGGCGAACAGTGTTGCCATCCCCGTCTTGCTTCCGGAACCATCGTGTCCATGGAACTGTGTCTGGGTGTCTCGCAGACGTGATGAACCCCCAAACATAGCAGTGAGCGGCCGTTGCCTCCGCCCAGAACCAAGCATCTAACCCTGATTCAATCAGTTGTGTCCTGGCCCCAGCTATCATGGTCCGATTCCCGCGCTCGGCATGACCATGTGCCGCAGACGATGCCTTTGGGACTCGCTCAATCATGATGCCTCGGTCCTTGCAGTACCCCGTGAAAATGTCGTTGTCAAACTCGCTCCCAAGGTCAACTCGGACAACCTTTAGCTTCCGTTCTGTTTGAACCTCAACTTCCGTCACCCACGCCGCGAAAGCCTTGAGGACAGTCTCCTTGCGCTTGTCTGCCAGGAATACGGGAAACTTCATGCTAGTTCCCCCATCCGAGATTAACAGTAGGTACACTGCTCCTCCCCAGCTTGGTGTCCGAGCTCTCCCCCACAGGTCGAGGTGGACGCGTTCCAGTGCATTGTTCTCGTGGACAACTTTGTCATCAAACGGGGCTCGATCTTGCTTTCCGAGAATGCAATCCTGGCACATTCCCCGCACTTCACCCTTTGTGATGTCTAGGCCTTCAACAAACCCTCTCGTTGCCATTCTTTGGATCATCCAGATGTTGGCATGCCCCAGTTGCCGGTGCCAGTTCTCCATGGAGGTGGGCTGCTTTCGATTTCTCCCTGTGATTGCCACTGTTGTGGGTGCCACTAGCTTTTTGTCCACCAAATCAACCGCATATAGCTTGCGACCGCTCCCGCTTCTGCTTGCGATCCGCCCAGTGAGCACCTCGACCCCTTGGCGATTCACGACACTCAAGGTTCCGTTGCCCCACAAACCTTTCAGCCCGCGCGCGTCCAGGGTGGTGATTGATAGTAGGTTCATGTGGAAGTCCGGTGTGTGTAAAGCGTGGAATCTGAGCCGGTGTACCTGACCTCTCTCCAGACGAACCGTGATTTTGGCTTCCCCGTGCCCAGCTATCCTGAATTGACCTCCCGACTTTACTGCGGTCTGACCTTGGACCCCGGCTGTTTCGTGATATGTCACAAATTTGGTTCGATCCACAATGCAATGTTCCGACGCCCCAGAGTCAAGAAAGGTAGGAATTTGATTTGCTTTACTCTGTACGGCTGATGTTGCATAGACTACAGGTTCCCCTTCCCGCCCAAACTCCCCATTCAGAACAGTAGGGTGTGACCTTCCACGTCCCATTCTGAACAGTTTATTAGATGTGTGGTATGGTTTGCCCAGTCTTGACGACATACCGTCGTCATGCGTTTCGGCGGCAAGGACGTACGTAGCCATCGGACTGGCATAGGCAGTGGTCGGCGGCGAGTCTGGAGCTTGTGCGGCGGCGATTTGGTGGTTTATGTATGGCTGTGCGTGGTTTCGGCGGTTTTCTCTGGCTTGACGGTGAGCCTGAACGAGTCCCAGTGCGGGTTCCTTTCCACAGGGTGGTTTCTACCACCCAGGGGCCTGTCCTTCTTTGCCTCCACCTCGAGCCCAGCACGCCCGTTGGTTATGTCCACTGACCCAACAGTTCTCGCAGAGTGAGTTGTTCGTCACGGTGGCCAGAGCGTTCGCTGATGCTCCCTCCTCCTCCACTTGCTTCTTCCAAACCAAGTCCCACCATTCGCGTAGATGTTGCACTAGATGAGCCACCACTTTGTGTATTTGGAGGGCAATCAGTAACGTTCCAAACTCTTCTTTTGGCAGCGACAATAAGATGATCGTACACATCAGCGGGTCAAGGATGCTTCCACCAATGTCGTGCACTTCTGCGCGGTGTTTCACTAGCTCGTCAATATGGGACATTAGGTACTGGGGGTCTTTCAGCTCCAGCATGCGCAATCACTCCATCTTCAAGCCCACCAACAGCTCGGTGCTTCTATTGAACTTGCTGACGAGGGTCGTCCAGATGAGGTTTGTCAAGTCTGACCCCTTCAGATCATGCGACCGTGGGTCCTTGATGTTCTGATAGAGCATTGCTGCCACCCATCCATCTCGTAACATGTATTTGTCCGGAGAAGGTGTAGTAGCATTCAGAGGGGTATATCCGGCACTGGACGTAACGAAGGCAGTTGGGTTCAGAACGGTCCCAAACATGTAACCATCCACACCACGTCCTCTTGCCATGCTGATCATGATCTCTTTAAAGTTGGCCCAATTCGCGCCGTCGGTGGCTAGCTTCTGTTCATCGGGGAGGAGAGGGGTTGCTGGGAGATTTGTCGTCATCTCTGTTTTGAATCTGCGTTCTGACTGTTGTTGTGTTTCTGATTATTGGACCGTGGATGCAAGCACTCTACTTCTGACTGCGAATCTGTAGACGGATGACCTAGTCAGTCCTCGGTCACACCAGACAGTGGTAAGACTCAGGTATATACCTGTAGACGGATGACCCAGTCAGTCTACAGGATAGATAAGTATCTAGATATAAATATAAGGTAATGACCACGTACCCTCAGTCACACCAGACAGTGGTAAGACTGAGGGCCGTGAAACGATCGGAAAACTTCCTATGTCTGCTCGATCGTACAAACACATCATAACGCTGAGCGCCACTTGCTGATGTGATCAGCATTCATCATCAACACAGATAGCTGGGCAGAGGTGAAGTACCAGGGTCTAAAAGAAATGACTCCTAGAGAGCGCTTGTACTGCTTTGAATGTGTAACTTCACTGTCAAGAGTGTAGCTTGCACTGACCTGGAATTCAGTTTTTATACTGAAGAGCTCTGTGACCTTGCTGTTGCCTTGTGCATTCCCCAACTATTCAAAAGGACAAATGGACATTTCTTCAATCAAATCAAGGCATTTTGCCTCCTCCTTGCTTACTTCAAATTTGCTTCTGACCTATTCAACCTCACCATCTAAGGACTGGTCCCAAATAGCAAGAGGCATGGTCATCAATAAACTGACAACCTTTCCTGATGATACATGTGTTGAAGCAGGAGATGCAGAGAGGACTGGAGTCAACAATAAGAAGCTCTGCATTGCAAGACAAGACAAGAAAAGAATCTACAGACCTGGAGTCAACAGTAAGAAGCTGAAGAACTCTAGGGAGACAAGAACTATCTATGTGGATGGAGCATGTGACTGTATAAGAATCATGTGACCAGAATAATAGAAACAATGATGGAATTGCCTTGCTTGACAAGGCTCCTCCAGCCTCATAATTTAGTATCAAATGATCGCTGGCTTCATCCACAAGTCATCCCAATTTATTCTGGCTTCCTCATGCTATTATTATGGATGCGTCTCCTTTTCCACATCTTTGCAGTGTCATGCTTTGTGTTCCCATTTCATCTATTTGATTCTTTTACTGGTCCTTCAAGCTGCCTGCACGCCTATTTTTTGTTGTAACTGATTTGTGTTCTTACGTGCAGAGCGCTGCCGTGGGCTATTATTTTCAGCGTAGTGCACTCTATCATAGCTTACAACTACTCTCAGGGTTTATCATTTCTTCAGACAACATGCACATCCTGTGACAATCAATACAGAATATAATTAAAAAGACAAGTCAATTCCAAGACTGGAGAATACAACACAATGGCTACTGTATTTATACTAAGTCCAGTCTGAGTCTTATCTACATCAAACAAGTCATCTGACTATGTACCGTGTGGAGCTTTGGTCATGAGTTGTAGTATAGACTTCTAGAGCACACACCGCACGACCTCTTGTGCAGATAACCCTCTTGAACCCTAAACCCAGACCGTGTGGTGCCGTGATCCGTGATAAGATAGTCCCATGTCAATGATAAGATAAGGTGATCAATGGAATGATTGTGAAAAATGATTGAATCATGACATTACCCCCTCTCTAGGGTCGATGTCCTCATCAACAGGGCTGATCGGTGTGAAGACGTTGTTATAGGGGTCGAAAAGTTGTCGTCGGGGATATGGAAGCCGCTCGTCTTTGGGTATGTAGCAATGGATGAGGTAATCCCAGTGGTCAGCTTGGAGTATTGGCACAGCGCGAATGTGGGTGTTCGGATCAGATTGTTTTTTCTCCCATGCTGCCAAGACCTTCTTTGCATGGGTTAGGTGACGTGATAGTTTCCACGTGTTTTTGCTGTGCGGCCATCCCTTCCATTTGACCAGGTATTGTTCCCTTGGCCAACCTTGCATTTTTTCATGATCTCTTTGACTTCCTACTCTTTGGCTCCTCCAATCATCTTTGCCATGGGTCTCTTCTCCCGGCAATGGGGGGGTGGTTCGTGATAGGGTGTCAACAATGACTTGTTGAACACCGGGTATCTCCGGTCTGTATCCGGCAAGTCCAGTTTCCATGCAGCCGCTCCAACCTTCTCCAAAATCTCGTACGGCCCTAATCTCTTGTTGCTCATCTTCTTTGATGGCCTATCTGTCTCGATATTTCCTCCTTCCACATACACCTTCATCCCAACCTTCAACTCCGGAACTTCTTTTCTTTGATTATCGTAGTATTTTTTTCATTTTTTCATTTGCTTTTTCTAATGCTATTTTCGCTTTGTCTTGTATTTCTTTCATTCTTTTCGCAAATTCCTCCGCTGACTCATTCCTTGATTCCATCCTCTGCTCTACTCCTTTCCATGGGTGATATCCGTGGTTTGCGTAAAATGGTGATACTTTGGTGGACGTGTTCATTTTGTTGTTATATGCAAACTCTGCCATTCCCAGCCACTCTGACCAATCCATCTGATGGTAATTGACATAGATGCGGAGATAATACTTGATCTCCTGATTCATTTGTTCCGTCTGCCCGTCTGTGATTGGGTGGTATGCGGTCCCAGGGTTCATCTCTACTCCCAACATCCAATTTGTTTCCTTCATGAAGCCCTTGATGTACTGTGCATCCCTATCAGTGATGATCTTGCAAGGGATTTCGTGATAGCAGAAGACCTGGTCCCGAGTTAGCTATGCTACTCCTTCGCTAGTGATGTCAGTACTGATTGGTTCCACGTGAATCATTTTTATGAGGGTGTCACACCACACATGAATTGCATCATACCCATTGCTGACCAGTAGAGGTCCAATTTGATCTATTGAGATGATTTCCCATGGGGCACTTGGTACCGCGTGTGGATGCAGAGTTCCTGTCCTTGCCCTCTTTGTCTTCGTCCGTTGGCACGCCTCGCACATCTGGATGTATTTTTGGATCTGATTTCCCATCCTTGGCCACCAATAATTCCTTTCCACCATTTCCTGCGTCTGGTTGATCCCCACGTATCTGACGGAGAGGCGTGTTGTGGTGTAGTCCAATGATCTTGTCTCGTAGCTCCTTGTCCCTTGGTACGTAGAGCTTCCTGTGATACGTGATAAGTCCATCTTCCTTTTTCCATTTGGGGAGAGACTTCTCCAATGCTGCCTTGATACTTCCATCAATTGATCAAATGGCCTTGATCTCATTGGTCAGCTGTTGATCCTGTCCCTCGAATATGACTTCTTGTGATCGGAACAGTTCGGGCTTTAACAAGGTGATGTCCTTGTTGTTGTTCTTGCCTTAGTTGTGATCCACCCATTGTGATAGGAGATCTGCCTTGCGGTTGAGTGCGCCGGGCCGGTGTCGTAAGGTGAAATCAAATTCCACCAATTCTGTGATCCATTGTGCTTGCCGTCAGTTGAGCTTTTGTGGCTTCCGGAAGTACTCAAGATTCTGATGATCGGTGAAGATCTCGAATGTTTCCATGGCTCCCAGGAGTAGCTGCCTCTATTCATCGAGCGATAACATGATTGCAAGCATTTCCTTGTCGTAGATCTTGTAATTTTGCTTGGTTTCGGTCAATGTGTGCGAAATAAATGCGATTGGGCGCCAAATGCTGTCTTGGTTTTGGCTCAAAACAGATCCTGTTGCCCCTTCCAAAGCATTGGCTTCCAGACAATATTGGCCGGTGTCATTTGGCAGTGCTAAGACTGCATCCTCCACGATTCTCTTCTTTAATCCATCGAATGCTGCATGCTCATCCGTAGCCCATGACCATCCTGCCTTCCCTGTCAGCCGTGTTAACAGTTTGGCCACCTCCACATATCCCTGAACAAAGCGTTGATAGAAGTTTGTGAATCCGAGGAAAGCTTGGACTTGTTTGACGCTTTTTGGTTCCGGCCATTCCATCACGCCCTTCATCTTCACCGGGTCCATCCGCATTGAGTTGTGTTCAATGATTACACCCAGATACTCGATCTCTGTATGTTCAAACTCACACTTTTTTGGCTTCAGGTGTTGATGTGTGGATATTGTGTATGCTTGGTTCGGACAAAGGGTGTGACATTACTCTGTGACGCGTAGTATATAGCATCAGATCAATGTGACCTACTAGGCTTTTTGCCTCCCATCTGTGCCCCTAGCCTCCTGCGGCTCCCATCTGTGTTTTCTGTGTTCAACATCAGGTACAGTTTGTGCTTTTGCAGCAACTTGAGTACCCGTTTGATGATTCGTTGATGTTCCTCCAGATTTTCTGTGAAAATTAGTATATCGTCTAGATAGACCACAACATGTTTCTCGTTGATTAGTTCCTGTAGGATATCATTCATCATGTTCTGGAACGTTGCCAGTGAGTTTGTCAGTCCAAAGAACATCACTAACGGTTTATATAGACCACGATTTGTCTAAAATGCGGCCTTCTATTCATCACCTTCTTTGATCTAGACGTTATTGTATCCCTATTAGATATCCAATTTTGTAAAGAATTTTGCGCTGCACAGCTTGTGAACTAGTTCAGAGATCAGTGGCAATGGGTACTGGTTTCTGATGGTCATTTCATGCAGTTTTCGATAATCTTGGATAGGCTGTAAGGATCCATCTTTTTTCTTGACGAAGAAGAACGCCGAGGCCATGGGTGATTTGGATAGTCTGATACATCCACTGGCCAGATTCTCTTCAAGGAACTCGTCCAGCTTGACCTGTTCATTCCATGATAGCGGGTAGACCTTGCAGTCCACTGCCTTGGAACTGGGTTTGAGTTCCATTGCATGGTCCCATGTGCGTCTGTCCAGCAGCGAGTCAAAGAATTCTTTTGCAAACACCTTGATGAATTCCCAGTATTGATCTGGAACCTTCCCTTTAGTCATTCTCTCCTTCTCCTTTTCCGCTTCTTCTGCAAACTTCTGCGCTGGCATTTCTTTTAGCCGTAGATCAACCTTCTTCCCAAAGTCAACCAATAGGATTGATTGTCCTTCCTCCAACTTGTTGAACACAGAAAACACAGATGGGAGCCGCAGGAGGCTAGGGGCACAGATGGGAGGCAAAAAGCCCAGTAGGTCACATTGATCTCATGCTATATACTATGTGTCACAGAGTAATGTCACACCCTTTGTCTGAACCAAGCACACCCAATATCCACACATCAACATGTTGAAGCAGGAAATGCAGAGAGGACTGGAGTCAACAGTAAGAAGCTCTCATTGCAAGACAGGACAAGAAAAGAATCTACAGACCTGGAGTCAACAGTAAGAAGCTGAAGAACTCCAGGGAGGGAGGAACTATCTATGTGGATAGGGCATGTGACTGTATAGGAATCATGTGATCAGAAGTCATGTGACCAGAATGATGGAATGATGGGAGCAGTGATGGAATCAGATATCATCAGTGATGTGATCAGTGAGAAGATCAGATGGAATCAGATGATCATGTGACCCAATCACCAGAGAGTGATCAAGTCCAAAACCCATTACCAACACTCCCCCGGGATGAGATCAGTCTCTCAGCCTCTCCCCCGCAATCTCATCAGTGTGCGCAACCTTGCCACCTGAGGCCGAGGCAGCGCCTTGGTCAGGATGTCAGCCAGCTGGTCCTGCGTTGGCACATACTTCACATCAATGAACCCTCTGGCCACTTCATCTCTAAGCCAGTAGTGTGCCAGGTCCAGATGCTTCATACGCCCATGGTGTTCAGGATTCTTGGACACAGATATGGCAGACTGGTTGTCCATCATCAAGGGAGAAGCCCCAGACACACCATGCTCCAGCTCATGCAGCAGATTGCGCATCCACTTGATTTCCTTCCCAGCATCCACACCAGCCACATACTCTGCCTCAGTGGTGGACAGAGAGATGGTGGACTGCAGCTTGCTCCTCCAGCTTACTGGTCCACCAGCCATCATAATGACATACCCCCCAGTGCTTTTCATAGAGTCCTTGTCTCCAGCATGATCAGCATCAGTGAAGGTGGTGAAGAGGTCATCAGGATGGATGTGGGTGGCTGGGTCATAGAGGGTGGGGGAAGATTTGGAGTAGGTGATGCGGAAATCAAGGGTGCCCTGGATGTATCGAAGCAGGTGCTTGACAGCCTTCCAGTGCTCTTCACCAGGATTGCTGTTGAAGTGCGCTAGCACCCCCACAGCATAGGAGATGTCAGGGCGAGTCTGACAGGCCAGGTACATCAGAGAGCCAACAGCAGACAGATAGTTGCCCTTGAACTGCTTGGACTCCTCCTCAGTCTTGGCTCCCATCTCCTTAGTTAGAGACAGACCAGGCAGCATGGGGGTGTCCACAGGCTTGCAGTCAGCCATGCCATACTGCTCCAGGAGGTTCACAGCATACTGGCGCTGGGAGATGCTGATGTCTCCAGTGTGCTCATCACGCTCTATCTTGATCCCCAGAAGCCACTCTGTAGGACCCAGATCCCGCACCTTGAAGGCCGTGCCAAGCTGGGCAATAACCTTGTCAATGTCAGCATCATGCTTTGCAGCAATGGTGCCATCATCAACATAGATGGGCAGGATGACGTGGACCACACCATCAGAGTAGATGTGGCAGGAGCTGTCTGACTTGATGTACTTGAACCCCATGGCAGTCAGCTTGGCAACCAACTTGATGCGCCATTGCCGGCCAGCCTGCTTCAGTCCATAGATGGACCGGTTCAGCTTCAGGACCTGGCCCTTCTCTCCCTGGGGGAACCCTTCTGGCTGAGTCATGTAGACATCCTCATCCAGGTCCCCATTAAGGTAGGCAGAAGAGAAGTCGATGGAGCGCAACTTGAGGTTGTTCTGGGCAGCCAGAGCAAGGATAACGCGCAGAGTAGCAGGTCTGAAGGTGGGGGCAAACACCTCGTGGTAGTCAA